GCTTCCCCCGAGCAGAGCTCTACTGACCAGACACTCCCCGATCCCTAAGTCTACAGGACGCAGTGCACGGTGTGGACCTTTTAGAAGTGCAACAAGAACTTGCAGACTTTTAGCAAGCGTTTATCTGAACGGAGAATTCGCTGCTTTTCGATTGTTAAGAAGTCTCTCACCTAATTGGACAGCCTGCACTCACCAATTACTTAGCAGCACTCAGCTTCCACAGAAACGACTCTGACACACACTAACTACTCCAACACTTAGGAAGCCATACAATTAAAACAGCAAGTGAAAATGGCACAAATGATTTGGGCACAAGTACAAATGGCTGCTGATGGGTACAGAGCCAAGAGGACTTGTCGCAAAGTGAGCGGGCAGCCTGACAACCCAGCAACGCGGAGTCCCGGCTCAGAGAGGCTCGACTGTACAAGCCTTCGGCGGCTTTCTACCACCGAGATTTGATGACACCCCACAACCCAGCTGGGGTCCAGATGGAAATCAGGAGTGGCCATGAGTCCAGCTGAAACGATGCATCCCGTGCAGCAGGCTCTGCCTTACTATTCTCGTACCCTCTTTTACAATGTGTGCGACGTATTAGTAACGTATCAACAGACAAGTAGTTACTGCAGGCTCAAATCCCTTTAACGCAGGAAGCACAATTCAAAGGGCTAGGGAGGCTGCCGCACGGGACGCCAGCCCTCCTTCCTAGCTCTCTCCGGCCCAGACGTTCTTCCAACCGCAGAACAGCCCAGCCCCACACCGGCTACCCCTCGCGCAGGGGGTGCTCCCTGCCCAGGACGCCCCCACAAGGCCACCGCCAGCAGAGGACAGGCGACCCTCCTCCCCGCTTTCCCCGGCCTGGCTCTCCGGGGCTGGCGGCCTAGGAGCCGCCACGTCCGGCCCAGATGCACCTCCCCGTCCCGCTCGCGCAGCCCGCGGTCACCTCCTCCGGCTCCAGCTCCGGCTCCGGCGGCCGCTTCCCCGGCAGCGACCCCGCCGCCGCCGCCTCGCGCCCCACTCCCCGCGTGCCCGCCATGCTCCAGGCCAGCCCCGACCCGCGCCGCCACTTCCGGCAGCGACGCGACCGCGTGGGCCTGGGGGCGGGGCCCTCAGGGTCAGAGGGCGCAGGGCGGGCCCTGGGTGGGGCGGGGCCGGCGTGCGCGCGCCGTGGGGACGCGGGCGGGCGGCGCCGGCGGGAGCGCGCCCGTCGCAAGATGGCGGCGGCCATGCTAGGACTCGGGGCCGTGTGTGCGCAGCGAGCGGCGGCGGCGCGGCCCGAGCGGGAGGCGCGGCGGCGGCGCTAGCCCGGCCCTCAGCCCCTCCTCGCGATCGCTACCTCCGTTTCTCCCGCCTCGCCCGCTATGGATCTGCCCGTGGGCCCGGGCGCGGCGGGGCCCAGCAACGTCCCGGCCTTCCTGACCAAGCTGTGGACCCTCGTGAGCGACCCGGACACGGACGCGCTTATCTGCTGGAGCCCGGTGAGGGGCTGGGCGCGCCGGCCCGGGGCTTTTGGGGGCGGGCAGCAGGGCGTCGGGAAAGAACGTCGGAGGCCGCCCCTCGTCGCTCCTGCCGCGCGCTCCCCTGGGCTGGGCAGGAGGGGCCTCTCCTCCTCGGTCTCGCGCCGACTATGTGCGGGACAACTGCGGAAGCGCGTCTGGCCTTAGGGCAGCGCCCAGTTTCGCTGGCGAGCGTTGTGCCCAGGTGGCCCCCGTAGCTTCTTAGATGAGTTACCAGGGTGGTGGGGTCGGCAGCCTTTGGGAAGAAATCAGGGCTTGACGCAGGAATTGGAGGGCGTTACTCTAGTGGAAAAGGAAAAGGAGCGAAAACAGAAAGCAAAACGTCATAAAGTTCCAGTGGGTCTTGAGCCCGTGTCCGGAGACCAGAGCCGGGTTTCCCAAGAGCGACTTTGTTTTTCGTTCCTCTCGGGACGTCTTCGTTTGCGTCCCTATCTCCAGTTGCCTGGCAGCAGGCTCGTTTCCGTGGTCTGACCCTGCAGACCGGACAATTCAGGCTTGCAGAAGTACAGCAGAGACTGTCTGGAGTTGCGGCCGAGAATCTGCCGTTCACGTCCGGGCTGTGACGTCGTGTCCGGGGAAGGCCGGAGCCATAGCTCAGGGCCGGCAGATGGGTGGCCTAGGCCGCCCTGGGCTGCGGAGCCTCTGGGCGCCTTCAGACATGCTTGCTCTCCTGAGGGTCCAGACGCTGGCTTTCTCAGACTCTCCTAAGTACTTCTCTTTCACAGTCTTAAGCCCTTAGGAAGGAAGAACAGTCAGGGCTGAAGCGAGCCCAGAACTGGAGGCTGGGTCCTCTCGTTCCTGGGTTGTCTGCTGAAGCTCTGCATCAAGAGGGGGAGAGGGAGTAAAGAGACTAGAAATCCTGCCGCGTCCTTGTGGGGGACACTTCGTGTTGGTCCAAGTAGCACATCCATGTGGCACTCTGCATTCCCACTGCTTGTCTCTGTGATGGTGGGCAGCATTCCCAGAGAGGGGGCTGTGCTTTCCTAAAGCTTGTCCTGTTACCACCATCCCTTCGTTGCAGGCCTTGAACTTTGCAGACCCAAGGAAATGACCCCATGTTTCTGTCATCCTTCCTTCTTCCTCTTTTCCCTTTCCCTTAACTCCCAGGCAGCACTCTTACCCGGTTTGGGGAGGGGCATCAGAGATCTTTTGGGATGTTCCGAGCTTAGTCCTGCTGGGGTGATCGCCCCACCTTTTGACCTGCTCACTGCTTCTGCTTAAAGATCGTGAGGCAGCCCCACCAGCAAGTTCTCCAAGTCCCGCTGCCTGTGCTCTGGGCAAGGCCTTGGAGCAGGAAAGCGGGAACCATCAAGCCTGAGACGGCCTCGTTCACAGTGGCTGCACCACCCGCTGGCCCTGCTGGTACTTTCTCCCGGGGGTAGAGGGGTGCTGACTGGAGCCTGTGCATTTGAGCCCCCCTGGTCTGTCCACAGGCCGAGCAGGGTGTGCTTGGTGCAGGAGGTCTGCAGAGCTGCCCAGCCCCGAGAAAGGAGACAGCCCCCTGCCTAAGGCCTCAGTGATGCACACACAAGCCCCGGGCCTCTGTCAAAAAGTCCTCATGGAGACTTCTGCAGACTTGCAGCCCAAAGTCCAGCTTCCAGAGACCTTGGAAGGTTCTGGCATCTGTGCTCTCGGTGCCTTCCCCCTTGTGCTGGAAGTTTTCTCCCCATTCTGCCAAGAGGACCCTCCCTGCATTTGACCCAGGGGACCAGGGAAAGGCGGTGGTGGGGTGGCTGACCCTCAAGGCTGAGTAATGCGGGGGGGTGGCTTCCGGCCCCAGAAACTCTGGCCGGGGGGCCAGTCCGGGAGTGTTGTGCGGCCTCTGCAGAGCCCAGCAGACGGCCAGCACGTCGCTGCCCAGAGAGTCGTGTTGGCTCCCCCCGTTCCAGACCCCCTGCCAGTTACCAATGCGCTTGGTGTGGGGCCACTGCTGAATAGACCGGGGCTGCCCTGCAGGACCCGAGGCCCCGCCGCCCTCGGGAGGGAAGCTGGCGAATGCAGCGGCTCTCCTGACCCGACTCCCACGGGACAGGGACGGGGGGAGGGAGTGCGCAGGTGAAGGAGGCTCTCCTGACCCCACTCCCACGGGACAGGGACGGGGGGAGGGAGGGCGCAGGTGAAGGAGGCTCTGCTTTTAGGCTGCAGGCACTTCGAGGCCCTAAGAGCGAGGGCCTCTTTCGCCTAGGGTGGGCCATGTGAGCACGGGCGGTCAGAGGGCCACACTGGAGGGGCTGGCTGGAGAGCAGTCGCTGCAGTCAGGTCGCCAGCTCCCTGTGAGACCGACCCTTCGAGGAGGGTCCTGGTCGCACCTGGCCACTCCGAGCTGGCCAAGGACCGTTTTCGAGGCTCCCACGACAGGCAGGGCTGCTCCTCCACCTGGCCTGGGAGCCAGGTGGGCCCCAGCAGGCCGTCCACCCCGCCCTCGGGGATGGGCAGTGGCCCTGAAAGGCCGGAGGCGCACCCGGTGCAGGCTGTGAGGGGCCCTGGGGGCTTGGAGGCTCCTGGTGCCCCCTGCACCTGCCAAACAGGACACGGCTGTCCCTATCCAGTCCCTATCTGCGCAGCGGGAGGCCCAGCCCCTCGGGTATCGGTTCCCCTCCTTCCACAGCCCCACGTGGAGGTGACAGCCGGCCTTTTAGAGGCACGGGAACTGAGTCCCAGAGACATCAGGAAACAGACAAAGAGCTGGGGGACTGCTGAGCAGGACCCGAAGTCCACGGTCTCTCGCTCACCTCTGGAGCCAGGGGCGTCCAGCTCTGGCTCACGCCTGCCCTCGCCACGCTCCGCGTCTCCCGGGTAGAGGGCAACGCGAGGCCTCCACCTGTGGGGTCCGGGCTCCGGCTCCACCCCACCTGCTTGCTTTCTTTTTCTTTTCTTTTTTTTTTTAAAAATAAATTTATTTATTTATTTATTTATTTATTTATTTATTTATTTTTGGCTGCCTTGGGTCTTCGTTGCTGTGTGCGGGCTTTCTCTAGTTGTGGCGAGCGGGGGCTACTCTGTTGCGGTGCACGGGCTTCTCATTGTCGTGGCTTCTCTTGTTAGGGAGCATAGGCTCTAGGCACATGGGCTCAGTAGTTGTGGCTCGCGGGCTCTAGAGCGCAGGCTCAGTAGTTGTGGTGCACGGGTTTAGTTGCTCCGTGGCATGTGGGATCTTCCCGGACCAGGGCTCAAATCTGTGTACCCTGTCTTGGCAGGTGGATTCTTAACCACTGCGCCACCAGGGAAGTCCCTACCTGCTTTCTTAGCTTGACCCCAGCCACACTCGGACTAACCAGTACTTGGTGCTCATAGAATTGTAGTTTGTATTTTTACACTAGAGTCCCCCCCTTCCCCTTCCGTAGAGATATATAGGTATATGTATAGATGGATGGATGGATGGACGAGATGGGCAGAGATCTATAAACGGCAGGCTATGTGTGTGGCCTCCTGTCTCTTTCCTCCCTCCACGGTCCTGGGGTGGGCGGGGGGTGGTGAGGAGGGGCACAGGGGTCTCAGAAGGGGCTGGAGGGAGGGTAGATGGGCACAGCACACCTGAGCCTGAGCCTGCCTGGCTCCACTGGGCCGTGTGTGCTCAGAATTCTTTATTAAAGGACCAGGGAGTGGTCAGCAGGGTCCTTAGGACCCACCCTGGAATGAGCGGTCAGCTCCCATCAGATATCACAGGCACCGGGCTAAAGACCCCAGAGCCTGCACCTTTGGCTGCAGGGTTTCCTTGAGATCTGCAGGGCTCGCAGGGGCTGGCTTTGCAGGCTGTGGAAGGAGGGAGGCCGGCTCCCTGAATGTTTCCCGATCTTGGAGGCGCTGGCAGCTGCCCCACAGTCTCCTCCCACTGGGAGGGCGCCGGCAGTTACTGAGTCAGCAGTCACCCGTGTGCAAATGTTCAGCTGGGCCTGGAGACCCGAGCATGGGGCCAGCGGCCGGACTTGAGCAGGGATGCTTTGGTCATGGCGCCTGTGCTGCGACCCTGAGCAGAAATAAGAAAATGACATGAGGACGGTGCAGATGGTCCTATCCTCAGTTGAGGACAAGACAAAGGCCGGGGAGGGGACCGAAAGCGAGCTCCCCTCTGCACCCCGCCTTGTGCCTCCCGTGTCCTCCCGCCAGGCTGCATTTCTCTGCTGCCGCGTCCACGCGGCTCTAGTGCTCACACTGCACGTGGGTGCCAGCTGCACGCCCACTGCTCCCGGAACACATCACACACACCAGTCTCTTTGGCTGGGGGACTAAAACGGGCCTTTTTTTCTGGGAATATACTTGAGAAGTACAGGTAGGCCTCTCATGGAATTACCGTGGATGTTAATCCTGTTGAGTTGTGGGCGCTTTGAGAAAATATTCAAAGACAGAGATCCTCCCTCTGTAAAAATGTACTTACATGCAAAACTTTGTATACGTTTCAGGTTGTTCACAGTTGTGTAGGAAATAGGGCCACAGACTCTGCATTTACAGTAAGACTTGATATTTACTAAGAACTGCATCGCAGGGGCAAGGGCATTGCTCACCAGCCAGCAGCTGGGCAACAGCTTCTCCCTGGTCCTGCCATATTTCCCGTCACTGGTTTCCGTTATATCCAAGGGTAAGCCAGGACTTCCTGCAAGAATTGCACGTGGTCAGCAGAGGAGGAGGAGACATCGGGCTCTGCGATGGACTCACCAGAAGGCCCTCTCAAACTTCTAACACACCTTAAGGTCAGGCTGGCAGGACACATTCAACATGGACTCAACCCACCAACAGTGTTCAGGATTGTTAAACAGGAAGGACAGGTGAGCGCTCCAGGTGCCTAGGCTTTCTATCTGGAAGCAGTGTCCAGACTCTGAGAGCCTGGCCTTTGGAGAAACTGAGACAGCCAGAATTTGCAAGGCCTGGTACCAGAGAGGAGGAGCTGCACGTGAGCCCCTGAGGATCTTGGTCGAGTGCTGCTTTGCGCATCCGTGTGGGGAGCCTGGGAAGCCGCCCGAGAACTTCCAGGGAAAGAACAGCCACTGAGGAGCCACGTGGTGAGCAATCACCAGGCTCACCTAGAGCTGGCCAAGTCATCTGATTCCTCACAGCCAGAGTGGAGAGACCGCTCTAACATACAGAGCCTTTCACGGACCTCAGAACAGCCACGCCTTGAAAGTGGGGCTGGATTAGCCCCAGAGAAAAGGCTACCCAAATGCAGTGTAAACGAGCTTAAAAACAAGCCTTAAAAGGATCAGGGCTTCCCTGGTGGCGCAGTGGTTGAGAGTCCGCCTGCCGATGCAGGGGACACGGGTTCGTGCCCCGGTCCGGGAGGATCCCACGTGCCATGGAGCGGCTGGGCCCGTGAGCCATGGCTGCTGGGCCTGCGCATCCGGAGGCTGTGCTCCGCAACGGGAGAGGACACAGCAGTGAGAGGCCCGCATACCGCAAAAAAAAAAAGGATCAGGCTGATCCTTTGCTGCAGAACTGAGGGTGCAGTACTCTTGAAAGGAAGACAACTAAACTCAGACACAATGTAGTAAAATTCTTCGTGTCCAGGATCTAGTCAAAACTAATAGATGATCCACTTGGCATGAGAATGTGACCTGTAACAAAGAAGGGAAGAGTCATAGTAACAGATCCAGGTGTGATGGAAGTGGCGAGCAAGGACATTAAAGGTGTTATTAAGATGCTCTGTTTGCTCAAAGAAGTAGAGAGAAAACGTTAAGACAGAGAAATGGAAGATATAAAAAGGAAGGAAATTGAACAGAATATCTCTGGAACAAGTGTCCCATGCAGAAGAATTCCACATTATTTCTGTTGACTCCCTTCAAAGGGGTGACACGTAATTCCCACCCTTCAGTGTTGGCTGCACACAGACTTCCTTCTGAGGAGTACAGGAGGGGGTGGGGGGAGAGACTGTACAGTGGAGACGCCTGACAGACAGGCCTCCGGCAGCAGTGATGAGTCACGTTGACGGGTGTGCCCTGCCGTGCTGTGATGGGCAGTGCAAGCCACCTCTGTGGTCTTCCTCTCCAAAAACTTACATAACCCCAACTCCTCATGAGGGGAAAACATCAGACGAATCCAAGTTGAGCAACATTCTACACAGTAGCAGCCCCGTCCTCAAAGCTGTCAGGGGCGTCAGGAACCAGGAAAGTCTGAGACTGTCGAGAATGACGTAAGGAGACATGCATGGAATGTAATGTCTCAGATGATTGTCCTGGAATAGAAAGACCTATTAGGTAAAAACTAAGGAAATCTGAACAAAATGGGGACTTTGGTTAAAAATAAACTATCAATATATTGATTCGTTACTTGTGGCATATGCACTAATGCAGGGTGTTAATAATAGGGAAATGGGGCGTGGGATATATGGAAACTCTGTACTGTCTAGCTTTTCTGTAAATCTAGCTTTCTAAAGTTTAAAGCTTGTTTTTATAAGTCACTGGAGGGGATTAAACAGCAGATTAGAAACTGCAGAAGAAAAGATCACTGAACACTAGACTAGCAAAAGAAACTATGCCCGGTGATCACAGAGAGGAAAAAAAGACTGAAAAAAGTGAGCAGAGCCTTACGGGGATAATGTCATGTGGTCTGACACGCAATTTAAGTTCCAGAGTAAAGGAGGAAGGAGAATTTTAGAAATACTGGTTGAAATTTGCCCCAGTTTTTTTTTTTCTTTGAAAGCTGTAAATCCACAGATCCAAGAATTTCAATGATTCCCAAGGAAGATAAAGCACAAAAATAAAAATGATAACCAATGCACATCACAATCAAATTGCTGAAAACAAGCGGTGAAGAGAAAATCTTTAAAGCAGCCAGACAGAAGAATAGGGTAAGAATGAGACTGACTTCCGATCAGAGACAGCATGAGGCCTGGGACTGGAAGGGGCCCTGTAGGTGGAAGTCTGGTCAACACTCAAGACCTAGTGTAACTCACCACATCAACAGAACGGGGAAGAAAAGCCACACGATCCTAACAGAGGCAGAAGAAGCATTTGACAAGATTCAATATGCATTTCATGATAAAAACTCAGCAAGGGACTTCCCTGAGTGGCGCAGTGGTTAAGAATCCACCTGCCGGTGCAGGGGACACGGGTTCCGTCCCTGGTCTGGGAAGATCCCACATGCTGCGGAGCAACTAAACCCATGCACCACAACTGCTGAGCCTGAGCTCTAGAGCCCGCAAGCCACAACTACTGAAGACCGCGCGCCTAGAGCCCGTGCTCCGCAACAAGAGAAACCACCACAATGAGAAGCCCACGCAGCGCAACGAAGGATAGCCCTCACTCGCCACAACTAGAGAAAGCCTGTGTGCAGTAACGAAGGCCCAACGCAGCCAAAAATAAATAAATACATAAAAATGTTTTAAAAGCTCAGCAAACTAGGAAGGGAAATTCATCGATCTCATAAAAAGCTTGTACCAAAAAAACCCTACTGCTAACATTATACTTAATGGTGAAAAACTGAATACTTTCCCCCAAGGCTGGAAAAGAAGGCAAGGATGTCTGCTTTTACTGCTTTTCCTTAATATGTTTGGGATGCCCTGGTCAGGCAATATGGCAAATCCATAAGTAAAAGACATCAAGATGGAAGTGCAAGAACTAAAACTCCCTATTCGTAGAAAACATTATTGTTTACTTAGCAAATCCCAAAGAACCTACAGAAAAGTTATTAGAACTAATGAATGAGTTTAGTGAGGTCACAGGATTCAAGGCCAATATACAGAAATGGAGTATATTTCTATGTACCAGTAACGAGCTGTTGAAGATGGAAGTACTTACAGTGCCACAAAAACCACAGAACACTTACTGGTTGTATTATCTGTGGCTGTGTAACCAGTCACCTCCAGACTAACTGCCTAAAACAACAAACCCTTGTTATCTCCCAGTGTCTGAGAGCCGTGAGCTGGCTGCCTCAGGATCTCTTGTGAGGGTGCCATCGTCTCAAGCCTCAGCTGGGGGGACTTCCCTGGCGGTCCAGTGGCTAAGACTTCGCCTTCCAACGCAGGGGGTGCGGGTTCAATCCCTGGTTGGGGAGCCAACGCCCCACCTGCCTCTCGGCCAAAAAACCAAAAGATGTAACAAATTCAATAAATACCTTGAAAACGGTCCACATCAAAAAAATCTTAAAAAAAAAATAGACTCAGCTGGGTGCTGGCAGCCTCAGTTCCTCACCCTGTGGACCTCTCCTTAGGGCTGCTTTCAGCATGTCACCTTGCCTCTCCCAGGGCAAGAAGCAATCTGAGAGAGCGGGAGCCCAAGGTGGGCTTGTAATGTGTTCTCAAATACCATCATGTCTGCTGGATGCGGTTGGTCATAGAGAGCACTTTTGGTAGATCATGGAAGGGGACAGCACAAGCTGTGAACTCCTGGAGGTGGGGATCCTTGGAGGCCATCTGTAGGCTAGTTATCATGGGGTAGATCTTGCAAAATGTGTGTGTGTATATATATATATATATATATATGTATGTATATACATACACACACATATATATATGTGTGTGATTTATTCATTGAAAACTGTAAAACGTGGCTGAGAAAAAGACGTAAGTAGATTCCACACAATCCCAGTGAAATCCAAGCAGAAATTTTTGTGTGCACTAACCTTCAGTTTATATGAAAAAGCAAAGGACAGAGAATAGTCAAACTTTTTTTTTTTTTTAAGGAGAACAAAGTTGGAAGACTCACACTATCTGATATCAAGACACACTGTAAAGCTATAATAATCAGTGCTGAGTGATATTGGCATAACTATAAACATACAAATAAGCGGAACAGACTAGAGAGTCCAGAAGTAGGCCCACCCATTCAAGGTTATTTGATTTTTGACAAAGATGCCACTGTAATTCAATGGAGGAAGAACTGTCTTTTCAACAAATGGTGCTGGAATAATTGGACTTCCACAAGCACAAATGTGAGCCTGTCCTGTGTTTAAAACTATATACAAAAATTAAACATAGATTGAAATATAAGAGCTAAAACTGTATAACTTCCAGAACGAAAAAACCAGGGCACAAATGTTCGTAGCACTTAGTTATAATAGCCAAAAACAGGACACAACCCAAATGTCCATTAACTGATGAGTAGAAGACAAAGTGTGGGACATCCCTACAATGGAATACTACTCAGCATTTAAGAGGAACAAACAGCTTACCCTTGCAACACTATGGCTGCATCTCAAAGGTATTATGCTAAGTGAAAGGCTACATACAAACACAAAAGGCTACATACCCTGTGATGCCACTTACATGACATTCCAGAAAAGGCAAAACTATGGGGACAAGAGATCAGTGGTTGCCTGGGGATGAGGGAGGGGGTTGACTGCAAAGGGACACAGGGGTGGTTTGGGGGGTAGATGGAAATGTTCTCTATTCCTCGCTTGTGCGAGTAAACAGCTGTGTGTCAGAAATGGAGAGCTGTTCATTTAAAATGGTAAACTGTGTATAGATTATAGCTTCCTTTTCAGAGATACGGAGGTACATCCCAGATGGCCAGCCGTGTGGAGACACCCAATCAGTCAATAAGGGTAGAGCTCAGCAAGCAGTCTGGCCTAGGGTGAGACAGGATGTGCTTGAGGTCGTGTGGGTGAATGGTAGATGCCACGTGGGGAGACTGAGGCACAGTGGCAGCCTGCAGATGCCACCATCAAGACTCGCAAGAGTGCAGCCTCCAGAGGAGCGCTGTTTTCTTCCCTCATTTTCCATCTGACAGGATATCCATTTCCTGTGCCACAGACATTTCCCAGCAGTCCACCAAACTCTTCCTGTCTGAAAATGTGTGAGATCCACGTAAAGCAGTGCTGAAAGGGAAATTAGAATGGCTTCTGAGCTTCCACATTAAAGTAAAAAAGAGCAAAATAAGCCCAAAGCAAGCAGAAGGAAGGAAATAATAAAGACAACAAAAATCAATGAAATTGAAAACAGTAAAACATGATAAATGAATTCAAAAGCTGAATCTTTTAAAAGATTGAGATCGGTAACTTGTGGAATGACAGAAGAAAAAAGGTCAATTACTAATATCAGGAATCACAGAGGATATATCACTACAGACGTCACAGGTGGTAAGAGGATAATAAGGAAGTACTACAGACAACTCTATGCATGTCAAGTTGATAAAATGGACCAATTCCTTGAAAAGCACAAACGGCCAAAACTCACCCGAGGTGAAACATAACTATTAGTGGCCCTTAGTCTATTAGAGAAATAGAATCCCTAGTCATAAACCTTCCTAGAAAGAAGTTTTCAGGCCCAAATGATCAGACAAAAACAGCCCAATAAAATTACAGACCAATATCCTTCATAATGTCTTCTATAAAACTTTAGCAAATCAAATTTGGCAGTACATAAAAAGAATAATGTCGCAACAAGTGGGATTTATCCCAGGAATGCAAGGATGGTTCAGGATTTTTAAATCAATATAATCCACCATGTTAACAATCTAGAGAAGAAAAACCACATGATCATATTATTTGATTCAGAAAAAGCATTTGACAAAATTTGACATTCGTGATATTAAAAAAAAAAATTCCTCAGGAAACTAGGAAAACTAGGGCTAGCAGGGACCTTCCTCAGCTTGATACAAAAGGATCTCTAAAAAAAAACAACACACACAAAAAAATCCTACACCTAATATCATACATAATGGTAAGACACTGAATGCTTTGCTCATGAGATCAGAACAAAGCACAAAGTCTGTTTTCACCAGTTCTAGCTAATAGTGTACTGGAAGTCCTACCCAGTACATTAAGACAAGAAAAAGAAATTAAAGGCTAACTGGGGTGAGGGTAATTGAAGCCCCAGTGTTCTCAGCCTGCCATGCCTGGGGTAGAGCCTCCATTCTATAGGCAGGGGCAGAATGGGGAAGAGGACCCTCAACCTCTTGGCTGCAATCACCAGGAATTTAGCCTCTTCACCTTCAAGTTGGACAAGATGAGAAATGCTGGTGGCCTGCCCCTCAGCAAGATACAGAAAGCCTTGGCTGTAAACTGAGGAGAGAGGAATCCCCACCTCTAGGCCATAGCCTCCCAGAGTGTCATATCAATCCAGGTGAACTTGTGTGAGGAAGAGGGAGTAAGTTATGGCTAAAATGCTACAGACTCACTGTTCCTACTGAGTTTTAGGTTTTCTTGAATAAATGTTTCTTCATTTGTTATATGCCTTTAGGACAATTTCCAGAGACTTTAGATGACTTAAATAAGCTTCGTTTTTTTTCTCCTTGGAGTGGTTCGCTGGATCTCCTTAGCTGCCTTCGCAGACAGGGAAACCTTGCCTTTATCTTTAGAGGATAGTTTTGCTGGATATCGAATTCTTGGCTGACAGGTTTTTTTCTTTCAGCACTTTTGGTATGTCATCCCACTGGCTTCTGGCCTGCATGGTTTCTGATGACAAATTAGCTGTTATTAGGGATTCCTTGTACATGATGGGTCTATCCTCTCTTAACTGCTTTCAAGATTCTTCCTTGGTCTTTTGCTTTCTTCAGTTTGATTATGGATATCTAGATGTGAATCTCTTTGAGTTTATCCTTGGAATTTGTTAAGCTTCTTGGATATTTTTCATCAAATTTGGGAAGTTTTCTGCCATTATTTCTTCAGATATTCTTTCTGTCCCTTTCTCTCCTCTCCTTTATGCATATGTTGGTCTTTGGTGGCGTACCGCATTGTCTCCGAGGCCTGCTCACTTTCTTCATTCTTTTCTCTTTCTGTCTCTCAGCCTAGGTAATCTCAGTTGAATATCTTCCTTCACGATTCTTTCTTATTCCTGCTTGGATCTGCTCTTGAGCCCTCTAGTGAATTTTAAATCTGAGTTGTTACACTTTTCAACTCCAGGATTTTTTTTTTGTTCATATTTATAACTTCTATCTTTATTGTTATTCTTTGTTCTAAGAGATATCATTCTTATGCTTTCCTTTATTTCTTTAGATGCCATTTTGTTTTGTTCTTTGAACATATTTCAAATACCTGATTTTAAAGTCTTTGTCTAGTAAGTCCAACACCTGAGCTTCCTTAGGGACAGTTTCTTTTGGTTGCTTTTGTCCCATGTATGGGTCATACCTTGTTTCTTTGCATGTTTCGTAACTTTTTGTTGAATGTTGGACTTTCCATTAATATAATGTGGCATTTGTTAAACTCAGTATCAGATTTTCTACGCTCGCCAGGATTTGTCGCTGTTTCTTGCTGTTGCTGTTTGTTTGTTTAGTGACTTTTCTGAACTAATTCTGGGCAGTTTGTGTTCTTTGTTATGTGTGGTCACTGAGTTCTCTGCCCAGTTAGCCCATTGGTCAGGGAGTAAAGGGAGCAGGAACGTCATTCAATGCCTGGAGACAATAACCCTCCCAGCCTCTGCAGCGGACTCTGTATGTGCTGGGCGTGCCTTCACCTCCCAGCCAGGTAGTTGACACCTTGACTTTCTCCTCCACTTCCTGCTTATGCAGAGCCTCAGTCAGCCAGAGGTGAGAGGGCCTTTTCAGGTCTCTCTCAGGCGTGCACAGAGCTCTACATGTGCATGTGACTTCTAGATCCCCTGGAATATTTTGGAGCTTTTCAAAGCTCCTCTTGATCTCTCATTCCCCAGCTCTTCCTTTTAAGTTTTCTGGTTAGCTTGTTTTTCCCCGTCTGCTGTCCACTGTCTTAGGCAGGCACAGGTTTCAAAATTGCCTCTAGATGTTTTCAACAAACATCCCGAGGAAAAGGCTTTTTATACTAAGAGAGCTTCCAGTCAAATCAAACAAAAACAGCCTTGCCAGTGGAACCTTCCAGGGAGTTGCCATACAGGCCTTGAAGGAGCCCCAGCCCCATTCTCACCCTGTGGCTGCCAGAATGCTGGTTCCCCCACGATTTCAGCTGTTGGTTTTCACAGCTACGGGAAAGGAGGCGGGAACAGGGCGAGTTTGAATGCCACAGCTCACTGATCTTACTGAGATTCAACCATTTCTTGAATAAATTCTCCCCATGTTGATGCAGTCCTTTGGGTGAGTTTCAGGGTTCTGAAGAAGTTGACTAAACATTTTTTGCTAGTTTTCTTATTGCTTCTTTGGAGGAAAAAAGCTTTAGCGGTCTCTCTTCCACCCTTTCTCCTCACCTCACACTTACATCTGTTTATTGTCCCGTCTTTGTCCGTGTTGAGAAGCGTTGCTGCGTCCTGGTCACCGCCACGGGAATCTTCCGGCTCTTCCCTGTCCCTCATCCCAGGGGAGGACTACACCCGCTCCCGGGCCCTGCCAGCACAGAGGGCTGCCTTGTTGCCCTTCCAGTAGCTTTTGGACTGAGGGCAGGAAAGAAATGGAAGAGCAGCGTAGCAATTTTTTGGTTTTTTTTTTTTGCGGTACGCGGATCTCTCACTGTTGTGGCCGCTCCCATTGCAGAGCACAGGCTCCGGACGCGCAGGCTCAGCGGCCATGGCTCACGGGCCCAGCCGCTCCACAGCATGTGGGATCTTCCCGGACCGGGGCACGAACCCGCGTCCCCTGCATCAGCAGGCGGACTCTCAACCACTGCGCCACCAGGGAAGCCCAGCGTAGCAGTTTTGTTCATCTCTGTTTCTTTGTCTCTGTTGCCAAAAGAAAAACAAAGCTGCGTTTCTGAACGTGACTGTGTTGTTTTCCTCCAGAGTAACTGAAATCAGGTTCCCGTTTTCTTGGCTGCCTCCGTTTGGGGTCTTGGCTGTTCTTAGGGGAAATTTGCTGATTAAAGCTAGCACGAGGCCCCCTGAGGGAGGGGCCTGCCGTGCTCTGAGGTGCTTCCTGAACGGCCCTCTGCAGCCCGGGTGAGCGGGCCTCGGCAAGGGTGCTGGGTCCCAGGGAGACCTCCACCCTGGGTGGGGGCACAGCCCCTGCACGGAGGCGGCTGCGTGACCCCCACGTCTCCTGGCAGAGTGGGAACAGCTTCCACGTGCTGGACCAGGGCCAGTTCGCCAAGGAGGTGCTGCCCAAGTACTTCAAGCACAGCAACATGGCCAGCTTCGTGCGGCAGCTCAACATGTGTGAGTGCGCTGCCCCGGGGCCCCACTCGCTGGCCTGGTGCAGCCCCCAGGCTCTGGGCCCTGGGTAGCCCGGGGGCGTGACCCGGATCCCGCGCACCTGCGGGGGGAGGGGGTGTCGTGGGGGGTGTGGAGCCTCCCTGAGACTGAGACCAGCCAGCCACCTCAGGCAGGGCTCCCAAGAGGGCAGTGCGGGGCATTTCCCCACTTCCCCAGCCTCCCTCGTCCTCCAGCGGGGCGGTGGCCGTGCCGGAGTGAGGGCTGGGTCCCCAGCCCTGAGGCAGCACTGCCCCACCCTGTCGCGCGCAGATGGCTTCCGGAAGGTGGTCCACATCGAGCAGGGCGGCCTGGTCAAGCCAGAGAGGGACGACACCGAGTTCCAGCACCCGTGCTTCCTGCGCGGCCAGGAGCAGCTCCTGGAGAACATCAAGAGGAAAGTGACCAGCGTGAGTAGCCCTCCTCCCTCCCCCACGTCCTCGGACTTCCCTCCAGGCCGTCAGCAGGAGCAGCGTCCACCCCCTGTCCTGCTGGCCTGGCCCGGCTGCACCGAGCCCTCTTCCTGCTGGCAGCCCCTCCTCCGTCAGCCACCACAGCGAAGGCCCCTCCAGACCGGCAGCCCCTTGGCCCTTTCTGCTGTATCCCGCCCCCCCCAGGCCATCTCAGTGACTGCTCCCCTGGGGACCCAGGTGTCCACCCTGAGGAGCGAGGACATAAAGATCCACCAGGACAGTGTCAGCAAGCTGCTGGCCGACGTGCAGCTGCTGAAGGGGAAGCAGGAGAGCGTGGACTCCAGGCTGCTGGCCATGAAGCAGTAGGTGCTGGCGCGCCGGGCAGGGGGCACGCTGGGACCAAGAGGCCCCCTGGGGAGCAAGCAGAGGAGGGGGAGGGGGCGCCAGCGGAGGGTCTCTCCCCCCAGTCCCGCCCCGCAGGCTCCGAGACAGACGCTTCAGGCCTTCCACTCTCCAGACAGAACTAGGTTCAGGCTTGCACAGCCTCCCACCCTGCCAGGTTGAACTCGTTTCCAGAAGGTGGGGTTGGACCCGGTTCCCATGGCAGCAAGCAGAGCTGGGCCCGGAGCAGCGGCCACGCCCTTGGGCTCCTCACACATGCCTGGCATCACTCAGCACGGGGTGTCGCCTCTCCTCAGGCCTGGGAAGCAGGAAACACTTCGGGTTCTTTCTGGAACCCCTGCCCCTGGGGCATGTGTGGCCACCACAGAACCAGCTCTAGGCTCCCCCAAGCCAGGACCCCTATGGAGGCTGGCTTAGGTCTCCTCCCATGTACTTGGAGCCCTGGGGACCTCAGGAACCCCAGCCCGGGGTGGCTGTCCATGTCTCGGTGCGGCCTCAAAGCCGCTCAGAGGGCCGGCCGTCATGCCCCCCAGACCACGGAGGATGCTCCTGGGCCCCGACTACTCACATCAGGGCCCAGCAGAAGCCCCTGGCTGGGTGATACCTGGAGATGGAACCAGGTGAACTTGGCCTCTGGGACATGGACACCTCTCAGGGTGAAGCCAGGAGGGTCTCTTGCATGTCAACAGGACATGCTGGGGGCTGAGCAGGGCTGGCCCCCTGGAGTGGCAGACCGTGGGCTGCTCAGGTGGCCCTTTCTGCTCCTCGGGGCCACCTCTGGTCCCCTCAAGGCACGGGACAACCCCCCCACATGCCGCCCTGTGGCCTGAAAGCTGTACTGCCCCCTTCCCCTGGACTCCCCTCCCATTCTCAGCCTCGGTCTAGGGAGAGTCGGCCAAGGGTGGGGGCCGCCCTCAAGGCTCTGCCACCTCGACTGTGACCGAGAAAGCCCCGGGGGTCTCGGCCCAGATCCTGGGGCGCACCAGCAGGCCCTGCCCAGGTCTCCACCACAGCCCCGCTGCCCCCGCAACTGGCACCCCTGCGCATCCTCCCCTCGCAGCGCAACAGCGCGAGGAGGGGCGGGGGCCCTGGCCTGGCCCTCAGACCGTCCCACAGCCTGTGCTCGGGTGGGGTGGGGATGGGCCGGCAGCTGGGCTTGTGGCGAGACGCAGTCCCCCACAGCCCTGCTCCTGCCCGGGTGGGGTGGAGTGTCCGTGGGGCTCCCTGCAGCCCCCCGACGGCGCCTGGTCTGTTGCAGTGAGAACGAGGCCCTGTGGCGGGAGGTGGCCAGCCTGCGGCAGAAGCACGCCCAACAGCAGAAAGTCGTCAACAAGGTGCGACGCCGGCGGGTGGGGCGCGGGGTCCCTGTCTGCAGCCAGGCTGACCACCTCTCCCCTCGCAGCTCATCCAGTTCCTCATCTCGCTGGTGCAGTCGAACCGGATCCTGGGGGTGAAGAGAAAGATGTGAGGCACTAGGCATGCCCACCTCCTGTTGGCTGTGTCCTGGGGGCCGCCGAGGCTGGGGACGCAGCTAACCTGCCTCTCCCCACAGCCCGCTGATGCTGAACGACAGCAGCTCCGCGCATTCCATGCCCAAGTACGGCCGGCAGTTCTCTCTGGAGCGCATCCATGGCCCGGGGCCCTACTCGGTGAGCGGCGGGTGCCGCGCGGGGCGGGGGGTTGAGGCGGCAGCAGGTGCTGCATGTGGTCACCTCCCTCTGGTGGCAGGCTCCGTCCCCGGCCTATAGCGGCTCCAGCCTCTACCCGCCAGACGCTGTTGCCAGCTCCGGACCCATCATCTCCGACATCACCGAGCTGGCCCCCGGCAGCCCCTTGGCCTCCGCGGGCGGGAGCATAGCTGAGAGGTGGGCCTGGCACCTTCCCAGCAGGCGGGAGCGGGTGGGGCTGGTGGAGGCGCCTGCTCACACGTGCACCCCCTGGGCAGGCCCATGTCCAGCAGCCCCCTGGTTCGAGTCAAGGAGGAGCCCCCCAGCCCACCTCGGAGCCCCCGGGCAGAGGATGCCAGTCCCAGCCAGCCGTCCTCCGTGGTGGAGACGCCCCTGTCCCCGACCGCCCTCATTGATTCCATCCTGCGGGAGAGCGAGCCTGCGCCGGCCGCCTCGGCCCCGGCCCTCGCCGATGCCGGGGGCCGCCCCCCCTCGCCCCGGCCTGCCTCGGCCCCCGAGAAGTGCCTCAGCGTAGCCTGCCTGGACAAGTGAGTGCCGTCCGCTCACCCACCGGCCTCTGGAAGCACGGCCGGGCCTCTGACAAGGGCTGGACACGGGCGGCCGTCAGGCCTGTGGCTTAGGGCTTGCTGGGGATGAGCTCGCGGACCTGGCCCTGAGCACAAAGCTCAGGGCTGGGGAGGGAGACAGATGCCAACCCGGTGGTCCCACGGCCCTTCCACCGCAGGAGCCCAGGCGTGTGGCCAGGTCGCCCTCTCCTGCAGCAGGCTGCTGGGTCCCTGTGTCTGTCCTGCTGCCCCAGAGGTGGGCAGGCGAGGGTGGGGCCTGGGGGTCTGCCCGGCCCCCACCTGCAATCCGGGGGCTCTTGTCTTTCTATCTTGCAGTGTGGCTCGCGCTCCACAGATGTCTGGGGTCGCCCGCCTCTTCCCCTGCCCCTCCTCCTCTCTACATGGCCGAGTCCAGCCAGGGTTAGCGCTGTCCCACTGGGGAGGGAGGATGGCTCTGCCAGAGCTCGGGCCCCTCCCCAGCCGCGGACCAGACCCCAGCCCGGCTGGGAGCACTCAGCCCTGCCTGGTGAATGGGCGCCCCAGGCCCTCTGCGACAGGGACTGGCCCCCCGGGCTCTGGGGCTCCTGCCAGCACCGAGTTGCCGACTGACAGAGGGTGGCCCAGGTGTTGTGCTGACCGGCCTCCTCTAAGGAGAGGGCAGGGCCTTTTGGTTCGCAGCCGCCAGGCCTGGTCTTTCCAGGCGGGCACCGGGGGAGAGGCTGGCCCAGCCACCGCCGAGCACAGCTCCTCGCTGCCTCCTGCTGTCTTCCGGTGCAAAGGCCCAACCTTACCGAGCCTGAAGATCTGGGTGCCCACCCCATTCTGAGCACTGACCCCCTCCTTGGCCCTCCTGCCATCTTGGCCCAGCCTGAAATGCTGCCAGAGGCCTTCCGGGGCCTCACGGTGACCGGTGACGGCAGGGCCTGAGCCACTCCCCCAGGGTGGCCAAGGATCCCGCCCTGTGCACACTGGCCCGCCGGGCCCGGGCTGGCAGTGCAGAGGGGCCCTACCTTGGAGGGCCTCCCGTGAGCCCGAGTAGGGTGGGTGGTGGCCGAGGGGAGCCCTTCTCTGGTAGGTGGGTGTGAGCGCTGGACAGGAATGTGCCTGGGTGGGGACGCCCGGGGTGCCGCTTCACCCGATTCCCTCCGTCTGGCCAGGACTGAGCTTAGCGACCACCTGGATGCCATGGACTCCAACCTGGACAACCTGCAGACCATGCTGACAAGCCACGGCTTCAGCGTGGACACCAGCACCCTGCTGGACGTGAGTCCCGGCC